ATAATTAAGTGTGAGTTTGGTACCTGCCTGTCAATCAACTTAGAACTGTCTAGCTGTTATGTGTTGACCTCTAGTTCACTCTCTTATTTATGCGAACTAGAATACAGTCAATTGATTATTTAACAGCCATCGTTATATCAACCCTTGTTACAGTTGTCGATTTGTTCACCATGCCAAATTTCATTGCATTATGAAAACATTAAATAAGCTTCTCAAATTTGAATTTGAAAGGGGGGGAAACTGGAAAAGAGCCAAAAATTCATTTTAAATAGACTTTCACAAGTTAAATTTTAGAAAAAATCAAAGGGGGGAAACTGGAAAAGAGCCTATTATGGCAAGTTTCCCTCCCCCTTTTACATACAACTTTCGTAGTCTTCGAGACAGCCTGCAAAGTCCTCGAAGTTCTGTTTCTGTATCAATCCTAGATTCTTCGCGTCTTCCTCGGAGATGTGTTTGCCCTTGGAGAGAATGTCTTTCAACTCTGTGTCGTATAAGACTCTTTTGGACGCCTTCAGACAACACAGGTTGACATTGCTGTCGTCCGACTTCTTTTCTAGACATTCACAGCTCTCCGGAATTGACAGGGCGCCTTAAAAATTATACTAAAATACTTACTTTCACTTTTGAGCTTCGATCTTGAAAATCAAAGTTCGTCCACTGGAAAGGAGTTGGGCAAAAGGTATAGCTTAAACTAGCGGTTGTATTCCAGTTTCGAACCCCCTCCTAAAGTCACAGCAAAAAGAGGCTTAAATTACATCATATGGCGATTTGCGCTATAGAAACGACGTAAAAATCTGTTCAATTGTTCACGCTGACAAATTTTTATTTGCAGTTTGGATTATCAAAAGTCATTCCAAATAAACAGCTTTTTTCCTCTGACATCTGAGAAAATGGAAAATTTGAAATGTCGGGGGGGGGGATGGAAAAGAGCCAAAAAGCTTTCATAAGTCAAATGTCAGAACAAAAATTAAAGGGGGACAGAGGACTGGAAAAGAGCCGCGCTAACCTCCCGTCTTCTCGATGCCGTCCCTTAAGATGCACTGGATCATCATGGAGGCATACTTCATTTGACCTTGAGAAGGGGTCACTTGCATCGGTATATACTTCACAGCCGAAGACTCACTTTCCCCGCCACCATCACTCGCAGAGGCCTGAAGACCAGTCGGCCCAATGAGCATCACTGACCATGTCACAGCACTGAGCAGAATTGCCATATCAAAAAGAGAAGCTGTATCAGTTGGCAGATTGTGTACAGTGGAGAGTACTTTCAGCACAAAATAATATGAGATTAAAAATGGAGAGGCTCGTGCAAAAACTGCGCCTTAATGATGACAATTTGCAAGTCGAAAGTCATCAAAACAATAACTGCAGTGTACACGTGACGTCGATAGAAGAAAAATTTGGTTTTCCTCTCCAAACATCTCGAGAGCGCATCAGTGTTCCTGGCTTTCTCCTGACCGCTTCTTCTATCTCAGTTCCTTTTTCCCTCAACCAATTATGCCCCGGCCTTCAACTCATCAAGGACTCGCGTTACTTTCAATGCTAATCACCAAATGAAATAACAGAACATCAAAAAAAAAGTTTCAATCAATCAATTTCTTATACATGAAAATGACGAGAGAAAATATGGCTCAAGATTACATGGTTAAATATGAAGACCAAATAAGTTTACTATGGCTTAATTAGTCCGTATGTCAATTTTCATAACAATCAAAGAACATGGACAAAATTTCTAGTTGTAGAATTTTGCAGAAGGGGTAAGGAAATGAGCCAAATATGTTTCTCATGGTTTCGTTAGTCCGCATGTCAATTTTCATCACAATCGGATGACGCGAACGATAATTTCACTTGCACTGTTGTTAATTGTAAACAATTAAGGTCACCTTTCTCTCAACTTGACTTTTGACATTACAGCCAAGCTGACTCACTCGTTTCTCTCAACTTTTCAAAAACAGCATGACTTACAAGGAAATGACAAACTTTCAGGTACTTACTCAACTGATGCCCAACTGCATGGAACTCCTTTGACTCAACCCTTAAAACTACCCTTATTAACAATTGGTGTACTACTCTCCTCAGGTAATTTACCCAATTTTTTATATTGGCGCCCCGAAAAAGTTTTGATTAGCTCGTTACACTGTGTTTTTTATTCCCCCACAACCAAAAATTTATGGTTAGTTACTGTTTTTCCTCCCCAGTTTTTACGTCTGCGGTTTATTATATCTTGTTATAATACTTCCCCATTACAATATTATTTCATTTATTTACAGTTAATCGCAGTTTATTTGATTTACATTTAAAAAAAAAAAAAGATCAATTATTGCTCTTGATTTCTAACCCATGTAAACTTTAAACGTTTCAATTGTTCATAGCTTCATTTACTTTGAATAATGTATTAAGTTATTTTCATCAATTTTCCCCTTTCAATTCGTTTTTTGTTGCTTTGCTATTCCGAGTCTTTTGTGACTCATTTATGAAAAAACTTCAGTTTTCCCGACTCATTTTTCATTCCGTTCAGAGTCTTTATTGCCTTTTGCGTTCCTTTCCGAGTCTTTTCTGACTCAATGTTTCATTCCTTTCCGAGTCTTTCTCGACCCATTTGTTGTTCGTTTCCGAGTCTTTCCCTACTCATTCATTCATTCCTTCCGAGTCTTATCTGACGCCTTGTATATTCCTTCCGAGCCTTTCTTGGCCCTTTGCTTCCTTCATTGCTTCCTTCCTTCAAGTGTTTTCTGACACTTTTGCTTTCTTATTGCCCGACTCCTTGGTTACCTGATTCGAGTTCTTTTTGGACTCTCAATTTTCGTCATTGTTCTTCGACATGACATTTGTTTGAGCTTTATCTGAGCTCACTTATTCCGCTTGCTTCGAGCCTCACTGGGTTCGTGGCTACATTCGAGCTTCGTCTTAGCTCACCTTATTTTCTGCTTTGAGCCTCTCGGTTCTTGGCTACTTCCTGTCGAGCTTTATCTGAGCTCACTTATTCCGCTTGCTTCGAGCCTCACTGGGTTCGTGGCTACATTCGAGCTTCGTCTTAGCTCACCTTATTTTCTGCTTTGAGCCTCTCGGTTCTTGGCTACTTCCTGTCGAGCTTTACCTGAGCTCATTTCCTCTGCTGCTTCGAGCCTCACTGGGTTCGTGGCTACATTCGAGCTTCGTCTTAGCTCACCTTATTTTCTCCTTTGAGCCTCTCGGTTCTTGGCTGCTTCCTGTCGAGCTTTACCTGAGCTCATTTCCTCTGCTGCTTCGAGCCTCACTGGGTTCGTGGCTACATTCGAGCTTCGTCTTAGCTCACCTTATTTTCTGCTTTGAGCCTCTCGGTTTTTGGCTGCTTCCTGTCGAGCTTTACCTGAGCTCATTTCCTCTGCTGCTTCGAGCCTCACTGGGTTCGTGGCTACATTCCAGCTTCGTCTTAGCTCACCTTATTTTCTGCTTTGAGCCTCTCGGTTCTTGGCTGCTTCCTGTCGAGCTTTACCTGAGCTCATTCCTCTGCTGCTTCGAGCCTCACTGGGTTCGTGGCTACATTCGAGCTTCGTCTTAGCTCACCTTATTTTCTGCTTTGAGCCTCTCGGTTCTTGGCTGCTTCCTGTCGAGCTTTACCTGAGCTCATTTCCTCTGCTGCTTCGAGCCTCACAGGGTTCGTGGCTACATTCGAGCTTCGTTTAGCTCATCAACTGCTTCGAACAACTCTAGTTCGTCTCATTCGCTACGCTACAGCGATAAAGGCAAGTTGTCCTCTGGGAGGTCAACTGGTATAAGTGCAAATTTTATTGCACAGGGATAAATCTACGGTATTAGGACAGGTAGGTAAACAGGTACATCAACTTTAGTTGTCCTCTGGGAGGTCAGCAATCACAATTCGGTCGTCTGCTAAATAGCGACAGGTAGGTAGATAAATACGTCATCCTCAGTTGTCCTCTGGGAGGTCAACACTCATTGGTGCTAATCTTTGCACCCGGTTTTTTTTGCCGTTTATACTGGTAATTGGTAGGTAGGTAGGGTCGGTAGGCTGGTAGGACCAGGTAGGTTCTTGGACTAGCTTTAAAATCGCAGTTAATTGTTAATACCGAGGACACTTTGAACGACCGCTCAATTTTTCCTCGGAGGTAGGTACAAGTGGTAAGGTACAGTGGTAATTGGTTAAACTTTATCCATTATTTCGCTCCTTCTTACGAGCATCGGTGGTATTCGGTATAAGTTGGTAGGTTGGTAAAGGTAAATTCATATACTGGTATAAGTTGGTAGGTATTGGTTTACGTCTCCTGGTTCAAGGTATGGCCCCATCCGGTAGAAATAAAACGACGCAAAACAATGACAGCGATCCTTCGGAACAAAATGGTACCCAAACGCAAGATACCAATCAAAACGTTCAAGAGACTGGCGTTCGAAAACTGGTTTCGCTTCGACGTCATCACGAAATGGAGATCAATACTTTGATCGACATGCTCGAAAACAACATCTACGAGGAAGAAGATGATCTTGAACTCATCAATGAAACGTTCACTGAATTGTCTCAATTCCAACAAAAACTTGATACCCTGAACGATCAAATGTTACAGGCTGGTTCTGAACACGATTTTGAAGAACATTCTCACTGGACAGTACAGTTGAAACAGAAAATCCGAGTATTTTCAATGAAAGTGAAAAAATATTTGAAAAAACAAGTATCAAATCCTGCTACTTCTACAATTCCAAATAACAGCGCTCAAGAAAATGCTACTTCAATTTTCCCACAGGAAACCGCAACCTCCATGCCGACTGCAAACATAATGGATATACCAAACAACAACCTTATAACCATGAGCAACAATACTCAAGGCAATGCAAGAACAGCTGCCTCTGACGACAACCTTTCGGCGCCATTTCAAGGCGACCAATCATTTTCAAATCCATTTGCTAGTGATGTTCCTAACCACAGCTCACAACAAGCTAGTGCTGCAAACCCTGCTAACAACAACAATCGAGCCAGGCAACTAATTCAAGCGACACTTCTACTACATTCAGTCGATCAGTGCCAAAACTGAAGCCTACAATTTTCAATGGCAATCCCAACTATTGGTTGCACTGGTATGGTGTATTCGTATCATCGATTCATAATTCTAATATGTCTCCAACTGAAAAGATGATCCATCTTCAATCATTGGTAACTGGCCCAGCTAAACTAATGATAGCTGGTTATGGTGCAAACGGCGACACATACGAACTAGCACTACAACGTCTTCGTGAAAACTTTGGCAATACCAATAGAATTGTCAACTCTTTTTTGCAACGTCTTGCAAATTTCAAACCTCCAAATCTGGCTCAACCAGAATCATACATGCAGTTTTCTGCTTTTCTCCTAACTTTAGTGGACACTTTTGAGCAACTTGGTTTTGTTCACGATATTTGTTCTACAACAAACTTGAACACTGCTCTGGCAAAGCTTCCCGACCCTGTGAGATTAGAATGGAATCGCTTCGTCATCGACAAAGACTACGATCAACCCTCCTTGAGACATCTAGCACAATGGTTTCAACGGTACGCACAGGCGTGTCGCGACATGCCTCCGACAGGTTTCCGAAACCAAAACAATAACAATTTTAACAATTCTTCTGGAAACGCTAAACACCCTAGTGGTTCCCGTTTCAATGGTTTTACTACAAATGGTGTAGGAAATCAAAATCAGCGCTTTAACCATCAGGGAGATCAACAAAACTCTCGTGCTCAGAATAATGTAAACTCGAATGCTTGTCCTAGTGGAGACACCTGTGGACCTCTCTACAAATGCGAGCACTTCAAAGCTTTAGACCCTAAGCAACGAAAAGAGCATGCCCGAAAAATGCACTTATGCTTTAACTGTCTAGGGAATCATAGGTTTACTGACTGCAATTCGAAATCGCTCTGTCGAACCGATAATTGTGGTAAAAAACACCACACTCTACTCCACGATCCTTCTGATACTTATGGAAAAAACCCTAGTAAAGCTGCAGTGAATCGCGCAATAGCTTGTCAGAGATCAGGTCAATCAGCTTTTGTACCAATCGAATTATCAAATGGTGATAAAACACTTTGTACCTACGCTTTCTTAGATAGTGGTAGCTGCGTAACTCTACTACTGGACTCAGTGGCAACTCAACTAGGCTTGGACGTCAACAAGAAGCACTCACTTCCCATATCTGGATATCATGAGACCAAGTCAGTTCAAGTTACATCTGTGGATGTACAAATTAGACCATACAAAAGCCCATCGACTCCAATGACGCTCGATGACGTACTCACGGTAGATGAAAATAATTTGGCCCCAGTTGATATTTTTCAACTAAACGCAATGTGCAACAATTTTCCACATTTAAAGCATGTTAAATACCCGGACTTAAATGACAATAGCATATCGCTAGTCATCGGAAACAACAATCCAGAATATCATGAGATCAAAAATACCGTTTATGGCCCCAAGAATGTTCCCTGGGCTATCGAAACCCTTTTGGGATGGACATGCACAGGTCGGAACAAAACGCAATATAATTCCGTTCCATCTGTTCCGGTGAACTTCACACAAGTTCATTCACACAATAACTTAGATGAAAAATTATACCAGAAAGTTCTCAACTGGATGAAAATAGAAAACACAGGCATCGCTTCTTCAAAACGCTCGCACTCCAAATCGGATAAAAGAGCAATCGATATTCTCGAAAACTCTTGTACTTTAGTAGATGGTCACTATCAAATTGACCTTCTTTGGAAAGAGGATACTGATCTTCCAAATAACCGTTGGCTAGCTGAAAAGCAACTCAACAGCCTCGAATTTCGCCTTAAAAGTAAACCTGATTTAAGGGAGAAATACCGCGCAACAGTCATCACTGACTTAGAAAAAGGCTTTGTCACTAAAATAGATGCAAAACATGACACTGCAATCAAATCTTGGTATTTGCCGCATCATCCAGTGACAAATGTCAACAAACCAGACAAAGTTAGACGAGTCTCAAATGCTTCCAGCATTTTTCAGGGTAAATCCCTCAACTCGAGTTTGCTCAAAGGGCCCGATCTTTTGTGCAACTTAACAGGTCTCATAATTCGCTTTCGACAAAATAAAATAGCAATATCTGCTGACATAGATGCTATGTTTATGCAAGTGCTAGTCAGCCCAAAGGATAGACCTTTTCTAAGATACCTTTGGAAAGAAAATGGTAAATTAGAAACTCACGAATATACACGACACATTTTCGGTGCCACAGACTCACCATGCGTGGCTTGCTACGCAGTACGACGATGTGCATCAGACAGTAAAAACGACTTTCCTCTGGCTTCTGAAATCATTCAACAGAATATCTACATGGATGATTTGTATGTCACTTCGTCAACGGTAGAAGAAGCCCTCCAACAAATGACACAACTACGAGGATCTTTATCTCGAGGTGGGTTCAACTTGAATAAGTGGAACTCAAACAGTAAACCATTCCTGGATTCAATTGATCCAAATATTTTAGTCAGCCCTAATGATCCAACGCCTAAACATCAACGAGTTCTCGGTGTTCACTGGAATACCAACACAATCGGATGACGCGAACGATAATTTCACTTGCACTGTTTTCCAGTCCCCCCTTGATTTTTTGAAAGTATGTTTATGAAAGTATATTTAAAATGACTTTTTACGTTACAAACTGAATTAAAACGTGTCAGCTACAACTTTTCTAGTGTGCAAATTGCCGTGTGAATAGTTTTTGAATAGCTTTGTTTTGTAATTTTACCAAGGGGTGTGGAAAACTTAAAAAGAGCCATCACTTATAAAATGTCGCAGATGGGGCGGAAGAGAAATAATCAAAAAATAAAAGAAAAATGATGGCTCTTTTCCAGTGCTCCCCTTTCAAACTACCGAGTTTTATGTTGTTTTACGTGTTATTATGGCTAAACGTGGTATCCCGGATATGGTACCAAAACATACACGCTGAACTGAAAGTAGTTTGAAAAATATTAAACTTTTTCTAAAATTGTCTTTTACCTGTTGAGGGAAGCAATTCAGAAAGAAATAATGTAAACGTAGGGGAATTCACAATATCTCCAGGCCGGTCTTGCTCGCTATTGCACACTGCCGCAATATGTTCCCTTTGGTACTGAGGTTAGCGGGGCAACCGATTCCCAGTACTGTTCACAATCCCAAAAGGGTTGATTTGGTGGTTGGCTGCTCTGTACTGTACTGTGCTGCTCGCCCGGTGATTCGTGCTCTTCCGATTGCATCTCACCCGTCAATCGATAATCAATCTTAACAACAAATCCAATAATAAAAATGAATTGAGAAATGAATATAACCAAATACAGAGTAGCCTTTAATTGGCTGAAATATAAATTAATCATTCAATTCAAGAAAGGGGTTCGCGATTACTATTATTTAAACCAACTGCCTCCTGCAGTTCAATTAACACCTCATTACTAACTAACGTTCTCCTCGAGAACTTCTTTCAATGTCAATAGTTCAACAACGATTCCGCTATCCTCTAGATAGCCTAACTAACATTCACTAACTAATCTACATTCACATTAACAAGTCTTCCAACTCGTTCTCACTTTACTTTGAGAATCAAGCGACTACCTTAGCTTGTAGCCCAAGATGTTCTCTAACTAACTGAGAAACAACTATTCGATTCGCTCGCAATAATTCTTCTGCCTCTTACAGGCTCTCCGGTACCCTCCAATTCCTTATCTTTCTGTACACTTAGTTTTATTTAGGTCACGCCATTCCCTATCAAACCTGTTATCCGCCTAAATCACCCGTCCGCACATGTTTAAGGCTATATCCCTCCCCCTGTCAACTCTGCCACGTGCCAATTTCGGTTTCTTTTATCAATCTTTTCACACTTATCAGATACCCGGTATGCGGTAGCTGTCACAATTTGACCAAGCAAATAAATGTCATACGATTCTAATCAACCAATTCCTGAACTCTGTGAACTTCAGCTCTCGAGTTCAACTCAACCTCCAAACCATGCTATGTTTACTCAGTAATCCTCCCAAGGTCTTTATTTTAATTATCCCGTTAACGTTCCGGCCTCCCAAGGGTAGGGGGAGGTCCTTTCCATGGGTAGCTAATTCATTCCAAGCATCTGACATTTTGACCTGTACTCTATTCCAATCCCGACTTTCTAGCTATCAGGGGAACGTAGTTCGTCTACTAGGGGTCAAATCAAACCAAAATGTCACCTCCGGGAAGCCAAGTAAATTCCCCGTTCGTTCATACTATTTAGGAGACCTAATTCTCATGCTACGGTCCTATTACTATCAATTTCCTCGGGGAGTACTTTTCTTTAGTCTAATTGAATTGCTATTAATAGATCATTCGCCAAGCTAAACAGAACCCAATGTTTACAAAGTCCACTTTGAATTAAATCCACTACTCCAAGGTTGCAATGTAAAACTGTATCGGCTTCTGCTGTAATTCCAAATATATACATTTTCCTCCCAATTTTTTAACAAGATGACCCATTCTCATTTCCAGGGGTTGGGTTGGTAAATACGCCACTTTCCGGTGTTAATATTGGGGCTTTCCATGCCATTTTGGGGTCAAAACGCCCAAAGGTCAACTTAAGGTCACCCAGGGGTCAACCGGGTTCAAACTTCTATATTTGGGTTCAGAATTCCATGGGGGTCCTACCTACCAACTTTCATTCATATCCAATTAATACTTCACAAGTTATACCATTTCTAAGGTCCATTATCACTTTTTCCGGGAAAATGCTATTAACACCGGAAGGAGTCGCCGGAGGGTTTTCACTCACAAGGGGTCTTTATTTGGGGCCCATATCTTATGTCCATTGCCGTAATAAAATCGATATGCCCTCGCTCAATATTTCGCGTAAATTGCCTATTTCCGGTCTAAGGGGGTGTTTTTCCAAGTGCTAATAGCTTCCGGTCCAACCGCCGGATTTGATTCAAAGTATAGCACAAGATGTATCTTGCCACTGCCTATCATCCCTTCAAGTTTCCGCTCCCTGCGTTCATCGGGGGCCGAGAAACTACTCCCGGAAGTTACGGGTGGGTTTGTTTACTTAGGGCATAAAACCGGAAGTTGGGGTTTTAAGGGTCTGGGTTTCCACACTTAAGCTCCACTTAACTAGGCCTTCAACATACTTGAATTTGAGTCTATTCCAACCGCTAGTTACCGAGTTCTGATAGGGCCATTTACACTTCCGGGGACCGCTATCACTTGCCCCCCAAGGGTCTGAGGGGTCCCGTTTTTTTGTACGCCCGGGTCGAATCATCTCTAGTGTCGCTCCTCTGAATTTCATAACATTAGCTTTCTTAGTTCCGATTTCGGGAGGGGGTCGCCAACTTTGTCAAATTTTATTTTCTGGAATAGGAGGGACGATATCTTCGAAGATTGAACTATTTCGAATTTTACCCTTTGTTTGCTGTACTACCTAACTTAATGACGAATCAATCTTACGCTCAGGTTACTATAGCATGTAATACAGTAGATTCACCAATTCTTCAAATAATGTCAAATTTGTAAGATCTTCCTTTTCTCTTATAAATACATAACTGTAAAAACTAGCTCTTTAAAAGTCGACTGAACAAGCAAAAAGAATATGGCGCAAAACTGCCGACCAACATGGCCTCTTTTAAGCTCTTTTACAGGGGGAATTTAGGGGGGTGGCGGGTCCCCTTTTTATTATTTTTAGATATTTTTTTTTTGGCGACGGACCCTGAAAATTTTCTAAAGGCGCCTTTGGTGCCAATATATGCTAACTTAGAGGAGGGAGCGCGCGCCAAAAACAAACATGATTTTTGGTCCAAAGATGCCTTTTTTGGCCCGTTTTTTCAACAAAAATTGGCCAAAACAGGGTCTTTTTAGTGCTCTGGGTGAGCTCGGAAAACCAATTTGCTCGACCTAAAAACAAGGTTGACAAAACTTTCGAAAAGTTTTTTGAAAATCCCCCCCCCCCCCCCCCCCCCGAGAAAATCCAAGACCCGCACCTGGCTGTTTAAATGAAAGAATGAATGTAACAGTCAGTTCAATTGTGCACACTGTTGTTAGAGTGCAACAACGTAGACTGGAAAAAAAAAGCTCTATATTAAAGCTCCAACCCTGACACTCAGTCGCAAAATTGCATCGAAAATTGAGTAATTTTCGAGTTTACTAAGCCTTCTAAAAATTTCAATATAGAATTATTTCAAATTTTTAAAAAGAAGCCATTTCAAACGTTTTTCAAGCTGACGGTTTTATTGCAGTTTAAAAAATCGAAATGCTTCTTATAGAAACCTTTGAAAGGAGAATTAAAAAAAATCATCGTAGAGCTAGAAAAGAGTCAAAAACTGTGTAAAAACTGGTCATAGAGCAATTTTCACTTAAAACTTGCCTTAAATTATTACTGAGTGTTCAGTTCACTTGTTTCCACTGACACAATTTGGCTTATAACTCACAGAAAAAAAATTAGATTTGGTCTTTTTTACTGCTCCCGTCCCCCCCCACCCCCCCCCCCCCCCCCACCAGATATGAACATCAATTTTTATTGATTAAGAACTCATTTTTGCCCATCTGCATTTTCTTTTTTGTTTCTGTTCCTTTCAGCTCTTATACACACCCCCCATTCGAGTTTCAGTTATGCAATTTTTTGTGAATTTGTCATTATGTAATGAAGATACATGTTGATCAGACTTGTTCTTCGCAATTAGGATCTAAACATAACGCCTTTAGCCGTAACAACACATAGAACAACTAAGAAAATAGAAAACTTGAAATGTTGGAGGAAAGGTATGAAAAGTTTTCAATGCTTCCAATTGTTTTGAATTTTGGGCTGCAAGTTAATTACACAATTGAACGCCCAATTTATCGCCATAACAAGCTCAAGAAATTAATTATTACATTTTAAAATGATAGTTTATACCTGCCTAGGGGTAATGGTAGAAAGTGGGGGAAGTTTTCGGCTTTTTCCTCTTTGAATGTAATGTCATAGTGCTTTTGGGTTCATTTCTTTTCTCCATTACATTTATTCAAGAATTATGAAAAATTTCTAAGGATGTAATCAAAATTTGCACGGAGAACAAACTAACTAATTTGAACACATTTTCAAAAATCGGGAAAGAGTCAAAGCTTAGTTAAATACTTACAAGGATAGTCCGAACACTCAGGCAGTCGGATACTCGGAACACTTAGATACTTACAAGGGTAGACGTAATACCAGTTGGAAACTTAAAAAAAACGAAAACTGTTTCCCGTTATACAAACACTTAGTTGACTAATGTTTTGTTTAATTAATTAATGATTTTTTAAAATAGTTACAATGAAATCCGTTAATGTTTAAAACAATTTAGAGTAGCGATAGGACTATTTTCATAATTACTTTATGTTGTGATTCAGTATTTTTAGTATGTTATAACCTTGACCTCTATTATCTAATTACGTACCAGTCAATGTTAACTCTACGAAGTCCAGTGGACTTCGGACCACTAGTTGCTCTTTTTTGACTACAGTCAGTTTTAATTCAACCAATACTTTTATTCTCTTTTAACCTTAGTTAGATACATTAGTTACCAGTGGTACATCTTAACTCTTTATTATGGCGCAGT